GAAAGGCTAGTAGTAGTTATTGAGAGGATCCGTATTCTATTTCTAGTGAAATCCTAACAAGATAAGACACTACACTTAAGCTGAAATCTCATTAGATTTCGGGGAGGATTTTCGATTGACACAAGCATAACACTCGTCTCTAACATTGACCACCTACTTCTGTTGTGATCAACAGGGGACCGACTGATCTTCAGACTAATTTATAAACTTCAGCCCGATAGAAATCCTGATCAGTTAAGTCACACATCATACAGCCATATAAATCACCGCTATCATCGATGATCCCAAAACTCAAATAGCCGACACATTGTTTTTAACCCCATCTACTAACGGAAAGTGTCACCACCTGATTCACTAGCCAATACAACATGAGGAAAATACTACCTGATGTCCCGCTAATTTCACTGCTGCATACTAATTAGTTGTTGAGTCATGTGAAAAATACAATTCGTAGTTACGAGGACAATACATATTTTTCTGACAATAAAACCGTTGAATAGCCAGACCACTACTGATGAGGAGAGGAGTAGGCACTAGACATAATAAATATCCCATAGACGTGACTGACTGGTTTCAATGTAGAACTATGCACCGATGTGCAGCAGTTCCAGTCGTCCCGCATCTCACTTGACACACAAAGCAAGAAAGTGAAAAGAAATGCAAAACAGAAACAGTAAGCAGAGGTATGAGGCAAAATGAATAGTTATACAGAAGGACAATATTTTGATTGGGTATGACAAATCATCACAAAGAGTGAATGCACCTAAGTCAGCCTTTGAGAACGAGTCTTAGCCATATCAACAAGTGTCTCCACTCATTGGTTCTCACCATCCCGACGACCCCAAACAGCCAGTCACCACGTCTACACCTCCCAAAGTGACTGACTGTTATGGATTTCATTAAGTGGTGAAGCTATGTTTTGGTCTCCCCAGCGACTCAGGGATTGACTTGCTACCGGGGAATAATCTCGTTGACTTGGAATATGCAGACGATATAGTCCTTCTAGGCGAAGACGCTGACGAAATGCAGAGTCTTCTAAACACCTTGAGCCGCAATCTACGAATGTTTGGCATGCGATTCGCTCCCGCCAAATGCAAGATGATGTTACAGGACTGGACTACATCGACGCCTAGTTTAAGAATAGGAAGTGAAGTGGTAGAGCACGTTGACCGCTTCACTTATTTGGAAAATACCATCAGCCCCAACGGGCCGATCTCTGACGAAATCTCAGCACGAATACAAGGGTTTAGTTTCGCATTTGTTAGTTTACGCCGACTCTGGCGTAGACGAGATGTTCGACTATCGACCAAAGGGCGGGTGTACTGCTCATCAGTCCGCTCCGTCCTCCTTTATGGCCAGCTGTGAGACCTGGACACTGAGAGTGGAAGACATGAAAAGACTAGCTGTCTTTGATCATAGGTGCCTGCGCTCTATTTCCCGTGTAAAGTGGCATAATAAGGTGAGCAACATGGAGGTTAGGCGTAGAGTTCTAGGTAAACAGGGGAAATCAATCGACGAAGTCGTCAAGTTACAAAGACTGAGATGGTTAGGACATGTGTTACGTATGCCAAGCCATCGCCTCCCTCGACGAGCTATGTTAGCGGATATAGGGTCAGGCTGGAAAAAGCTAGCGGCGGTCAAACAAAGACTTGGCATCAGTCAATGAAATCCACAACAGTTGGTCTAAGCCACGTAGAAAGGTGTAGACTTCCAGGCTGGGGTCCTCGGGACGGTAAAAATCTATGGTTGGAAACAATTGGTGACATGGCTCAAAACCGTTCTGTGGCGCAGATGCATCCACTCCCTGTGACTTATGATCTTCAATGAAACTGTTTTGTATTTCTTTATTACTCCTTTGTCTCACAACTCTGCTCACTGTTTCTATTATGCTTTTCTTGTACTTTCTTCTCTTGCTTCGCGTACTACACGGAGTGTGGCGACTTGAACTTCCGCACATTTTTGCAAAGTTCTATGTCAAAAACAGACAGATGGCTAGACATACGTAACACATATCCTAGCCGTCTCAATCGATGTAACTTGGAAACTTCCTGGGTTGACTTACCTTTCTTACCTAGCACTCGACACCTAACATCGATATTGCTCAGCTTATTGTACCACTTCACACGGGAGAGAATGCGGACACGTATGATGAAAAAAGAGCTAGTCCTACAGACATGCCGTATATACACTACAATAAAAGACTTGACAAGATGTCTGACGTCAGGTAGTTGCAAGTTTCAGGCGAAAACTGAAAAACCAAAGTAGGATTGAACAGAGAAGTGCACTAGTTCAAGATATAATTTTTTTTCTTCATGTTCCAAGTGGAACAGGGCTTCGAGTTAGATGTTTCTGTGGCAGTGTTTATTTTTACAGGATGGGGTTGCTAGCCTCATGCCCAACTTTCCTTCTTTACCAGTCTTAATACTGGTTTAGCGAGGTAAAGGAGTGCGCCGGCCGGGGATCCAACCCCCGAGCATGTGCATGGTCGGCGAGCGTCCTAACCGCTATGTCACCGACGCACGATATACGGTAGATATAGTTTGAGAAAAAATACGAAGAAACAAGAAAAACGATGTTATCACACTAGACAGACATAGGTCTGGCGAAGAGAATATGGTATTTCGGTCTTAACAACAGTCGGGAAAATATAAGGTACGAATAAATCTGCACCACTGGAAAACTGAGCGATCTTAATCAACAGACATGGTAGGAGTTGTATGCATCACATCCCTAGAGCTTGTCGAATAATGACGCACAGAGCAGCAGCCATCGTTCTCGCGACACACACAAGAGTTTATAAGCGCTCAACGACGAGGACCTGTACGGAAGCAAACAGAATTAGAAGAGGAGACACACTCTTCAGACAGAAAACTCACTAGTGAAGCAAAACCTCAGAGCACTTTACCACGGCTTCACTGAATTACCAGGACGGCACAAGCAATCATCTTTACTTTGCCAGTGTTAAGTTTCTGAAGATTATTCACAACGAAAATAGTTCACCATCTGTTTTTGACAGACACGCAGGACACTATATTAACGCATATAAATCACGAATCTTATCATTGTTCTGCGGATGAAGCAATGCAGATCTTCACCACGACCCAATAGACACTGGTTAGCATTGGAACGACCTACGGTCAGCCTGCACAACTCATAAGCGCTTTAACAATTTTTGGAACCACGCACTGTAAATATGTAGCAGTCATATTTAGAAAACCATTAAATCCTTGCAATAACTGAGAAGCAACTCACGATTCCCAAGAGTAATCCTCACGTCAGGACTTAATGTTATCTCCGATGACGACTTGGGCTTTATGGTACTTGCAAAAGCCATCACACTAATTAATTTCGCAAGTCGTGATTAGCTTTGTGTGAGATTCATATAGACTAGCAGAGTAGTTGGGGACTGAAGTCCGTTAGTGAACTTATTGGGGTGCGAACTTTAATGAAAATCTGAGCCTCTATAGAAGTACACACTGTAAACGTCCCATTGCCTGATCTATACCGGCGGTACAAGGGCTCGGATGCAACTGTGTTTCCCTCTCGTGGTCCTTTAAATTCAAAACCAGAGTATATAACCCCCAAGTCGCGTACTTAATGAAGGTCATGCGCTCAAACTTCTCGTACACGATCATTAGACAAACAATGTGGCCTACTTACCAATTTGAATATGCAAGCGGTAGATATGTGCTTCCTCGGTTGAACTCTCCTATAAAACTCAAAGGTAAACTACCTTCAAGACCACCTATTGGAAAACACTGAAGGCAAAATTAGGAAATCATGGGGGTCAAAGTTACTGGTAAGTGTGACCGTTCCATTATCAGCTCGGAAAAAGTTGGCACGAATAATGGAGAAGAGATTGCATCACACGAATATTTAAACAGAAGACACCTATTGTCCGCCAATGGAATGAACCTCGAAATAATACCTCACTTGGGACTAGAATCCAAGACACGCAAAAACTCTTAAGACAGTTCGAAAATGGGTTGATATTATTTATCACATTACCTGAGTCTTAATGTAAGCAACAAACCTGAGAAGTCTGTAAGCACTGAACATCCAAGTCGATGAATTCATTTAAGAAAGAACATGACCAACCATCCACTACAGCAACGATCTCTTTGTACATAGTATGAGCAAATAAATATTTTCCTCTCGACTTGAATGGACACCGGAAAAATTAGTGAGACACTTCACATGGAAACAGTTAGGAATGGACTCTAAAGACAAATACCTTCGGGTCAACCAAAAAGATGGCTCGGCATTGAACATGGATACTGTTCATAATTTTCGCTGCAAGTGTCACCCAGAAGTCTTAATACCAACAATACAACTCCCATTCATACACTTTACTTTGCTTACATCGTAAAACCCTTTAGAAGTCTGTACACAGATGGTCGACGCCTCTAGGCACAAAACGGAACTCAAGTGCAGCGACTGATAAAACCCACAGAATGCGAGAAATTGAAAAACGCACTAGGCAGGTATGAAGTTGACGAGTGACCCGACTGATAATTTCCCGATCAGCACGGCTTACGAAGTTATGACATGTCACACTGAAGTCGGAGAATCAAAGAGTTCTCGTGTAGACTTGCCAGTATCACACGTTAACACAGGCGCTGCTTGGCTCAAACACTTGTCACATGTTTGATTGCTTGGAAAATTCCATCATGAGCTGACATCATTGGAAAAATGGTTCTCCAACTGACGATGAAACCCTCCAATCAATCTAACGAAAATTACTGGGTAAATCAATAATCTAATATCGGCACATGCTGAACTACGTCTTTCTTAAGGCAGCAAGAAGGATCCGGAAAACCACACAAACTCTTAAAAAGCACAAATTGGAAATGAAAGCTATGTTATTTCAGTAGTTAGTGTACAATGGAAGGGAGACTAAGACAGTGGGGTCGGTCAGTTCTCGAACTTGGCCAATATGTCGGATTCCCGAAACAGAAAGTATTCCTGCAAATATTTTACTTATCTAAAGTTTAACTTACGTTATCTTCCAAAACAACTTTAGTTCCGCCATACTCAGGAAGGAAAACTTTGTCACCAACAGTGACACACATGGGGATTATTTCACCTTTCTTAGGAGAAAATTAATCTAGATGTAATAGCTTTACCTCGTTCTTAACACCTGGACCATGTGCAACTACCGTACCTTCAAGAACTTTGCCCTTTGACTTTTCTGGAAGCATGATGCCACCTTTGCTTTTTGTCTCAGCTTCGAAGCGCTGGACAAGAACACGGTCAAAGAGGGGAGCGAACTTTCTGAATGCACGAGCAGCCTAGCAGAATAATGGGGAAAACCAATGGACTTACCATCTTTTCTTCACGTGAGTTCTTGAAGCAATTTCCAACGAATCCGTAAGGGTAACTACGCGAATAAAAACAAACAAAGTTCAACCTATTAAATGTTCAAGTACCCTTGGAGTACACATTCTTCTGTTTTAAATAAAAGATGTAAGCCTCACCTTCGATGTATCCACGAAACTTACTGCATATCTGAAATTATTTTCATTATACAATGCATCTATGAAGGGATTCCGTAAACATAAAGATTTCTAAAGTATTTTACTTGCGGTCTTTAGTGGTGATTCGATATCTTTTGTGGATTTTGCTGTCACAAACATTTTCAGTACAGACTTAGGCCCCTTAAGCTGCATAATTGCAACATACGATGGCATTTCACTAGGCCTTGCATAAACACTGTCTAACAGGATATCTACATACTCTATAAAAAAACGTAATCTGATGCTAATTTGATGGCTTCTTCCTGAAGAACCGCCGGCTGCGGGTACCCGAAAATATCACCTCAATCAGTGTCAGGTTTCCTATTCTTAATAAAGTATCTCTGGCTACTCAACATTTCCAAGCCATTACTAAGCAACCCTCAAGTCATCTTGTTTTAAACCTGAGATTTTATTTCATTGTTCTATTCGAATATTTTTTCGGGAGATTGATTGTCTCGATTATCCGCTTTTTTCTCGGTAATAACATTAACCTTCAGAAAACGTTTTGCTTGCGGTTTGCGCGCAATAAACAAATCGATAGCTAAAGTTGTGAAGACTTTTGCTATGAGTAAAGTATTACGGTCACCTAAGATTCACTACCATAGTCGACGAGTTTTGTTTAGTCCTGCAGCAGGAAAGCTAAATTTCCGCTCTGTAGATATCAGAGAACTTTTCACTTATGCAAGTGTCAGAATAACAAGCTGAAGTATGTCATCAGGCTAGAAACCAGTTCATTCATCTCTATTACTCCCTTGCGTCCCTAGTGGAACTTAGGGCTTCAACAACACATCTCTACTATATTATATTTCCCGTCATCCTCTTGACCTAAGTCTACGATTGCCCAAACTCTCTCATCTCTTCATCACACTATATCCTCCATTGCACTGACCACCCACTCGTCACTTCCCGTTTGGATTCCACTTAAGCGATGGCCTGCATTGCGCCCTATGTCATTCGACGGTCTCCTCAATGTATGTCCAGTCCATCTTCACTTTCTCCCACATATTTGTTGAGCAATCGCCTCTTGGTTGGTTTGTCTCCAGAGTTTATTATCACTAATTCTTTCTGGCCGGCAATTTGATCCTCAATATAGAGCCAACCAGCGAAAGCAGCTGTTGACAACAGCCTGTAACTTGTTGGAAATCCTTTTTGTGACCGGCGCACAGTACAAGTTTCTGACCCGTATAGAAGGATCGTTTATGTTGAAAATGGGAATTATGTTCCTTATGCTGAGTGTAGAAGATTTCCAAGTTGCCTTTAGGGTGATGAAGGCGTATCTTGGCTTTCCGATTCTGACTGGCTTCGACATCTTCATCCGTTCCGCCTGTAATTGAAACTATGCTTCCTAGATATGTGAAGGAAGTAACTTTTGCCCAACCTCTCCCGTTGACAGTGATTGGTTCTGGTTGTTGTTGTTGCTGCTGCTGTGGTTCGTTAGTTATATTCATCGTCTCCGTCTTCTCTGTGTTCACCTGAAGTCCTGTTTTCTCTGTCCCTTCAGCCAGTTTGTTGGTTTTCGCCTTTAAGTCCTTGAGATTGTGTGACATTAGACATATATCATCTACGAAATCTAGATATTCTAGGGTCTTCTTACCGGCCATACAACGTATTCCTGACCCTCCGCTCCTCACAGTGTGACGCATAATCCAGTCTACCACAATTAAGAATATCATCGGTGATTATAGGCAGTCAGCTTATCTTACTCCTGTATACACTTCAAACGCCTGAGTTTTCCGCTGTGGATCGCTTGACACCTGGCATTGTCATGTAGCCAACTGTTGAATGAGGTTGGCAAAGACTTCGGGTACGCCGTAGTGTTGAAGTAGTTCTCAATTTGCTTCTCTGTGAAGGCAGCCTGTTGAAGGCTTTTTCGTAGGCGATGAAGTCGAGGTAGAGGTTTGACTGCCGTTCTATTCCCTGTCCTGTGATAACAGTGAGTAGAGTTGCAATTTGCCCAGCACATGATTTGCTTTCCCTGAATCCAGCCTGTTGCGGCTGGCGGAGTTCTGTATCCAATGCATCCTTTATGCTCGCCAGAATGATGCGACTTAGTGTCTTACTTGGCATGGAAAAGAGAATCATTCCACGCCAGTCAGTTCTTTCGCAGGCCCACGCCGACCTTCTTTGGAAGTATGACGAGGTAGCCCTTCTTCTAATCAGTAGGCACCTTTCCCTCTCTTCAAACCCTTTGCAGTAATGGAATGAGAACATCTGCCGCGGTCTCTGGGGCTGTCTTCAGTGCTTCGGGTGGGATTCCGTCTAGGGCTGCTGCTTCCCTGAGTGGACTTCAGTAGCTTGATCGCATTTAGGATTTCTGCTTTTGTTGGAGAAGTGGTGTCCACTATCAGGCAGTTCTGTGCGTGCTGTTGGTGGTATTTCTGGGTGAGTTGCAGGCGATGATCGATTCAATAGTCCTTCAAAGTGATCAGCCCACTGTTTTATTTGTTGTCCCTCCTTGGTAGTCAGTTTCCCTTAAAAATATTTTATCGGTTTCATCGTCTGGGTTTATCTCTTCCTTGATAGAGACCTTGTTACCTGATGTAGTGTCTTGATGTCTCTCTTGCCTGAGGTCTGCCTGTTCTGCTTCAGTTTACAGCGTGCCATAGAACTGTCCTTTGTCTTTCCTAGCACTCTTCTTTACTTCCTTATTCTAAGCAGTGTACATTGAACTCAGCTTCTCCTTCTGTTGAGCATCTCTGCAATGAGTCACCTTCCCTTTCGCCATCCTCCTCTCCTCGATTGGCTTCCAGGTAGGTGTCCGTTGAGAGTCATCCCATACCTTGTCTCTTCCTTCTTTCTAGAACGGTTGTACACGTCTCCTTAAATATCGCTTTCAGAGAGTTCCAATGTTCCCCCACACAGTTTTCCTCAGTGTTACCACGTAGTGTCTCCGACTTTGCTTTGATATCTGTAGAAAAGGCGTCCCTTGTAGTTTTGTCCTTCAGCTTCTGAATGTTGAACTTGAATTGTGGTCTATCTCAACTCGATTTCATGGATTTCAGCTTCACCTTGAAGGTTCCTTAGACTAGATGATAGTCTAAACTTACATCATGTTGTCATAGCACCTGAGAATAATCTTATCTTCGAATTCCCGCAAAGCGATTGCATTCCGACATCGTTAAGGAAAAGTCTACGAAGGCACTCAATAAAATACTACAGATATCATGACATCATACATAATTGCCATTACTTCTGTTCTCACTAGAATGCAACAGTTGGGAAATATAAGCCTTAGAATCAATGAAATGCGGGCCATTCAGCCACCGTATAACCTAGGAGAAGTAGCGAAACTTTTCAAAAGTAGGTTAACAAATCGAAGTCTGCATATCCAAAAATAAAAAACCTAGGCAACATTGCTTACGAGAATACCTAGGTGGTATGTGAACTGTTTAGCAAGCACTTTGCCAGGCTATAAACCTTGGAGAACGGTCGGGTGGTTGATTTCCCACGTAAAACAGGCGATTGTCTAAGCGACACAGTTTTCACCACTCAAAAGACTGACAAAGTTATCTCAAATCTTAGGCTTAGTAACACTATTGGTCCAGACGGTATTTCTTCCATTCTACTGAAGAACAGTGGTAATGACATGAATTCACTCTTACTCAATTTATAATCAATCTCACTAAGTCATGGGACATACCCTACCTGATGGAAGAAGTCTTATATCTTACCTATCCACAAATACGGGTCTATAGCTGATATCAACAACTACTGCCCCATTAATATCACGTCGGTAATTTCATGTGTAATGGGAAAGATATTAGAGACTCAAATCACCTAGTGCTTGCTCTCAAACGACCCACTGTCCCCATCCCAATACGGTTTCTTAAGTAGAAGGTCGTGCATTACTTGCCACTTAGATTATTTCGACCACATCACTGAAATAAGGGTCGGTTGTCGGTCGGCAGCAACATTATTTCTAGATGTTAGGAAAGTTTTTGAAAAGGTCCCGCATAACAGACTCATATTGAAACTCTTATCTTATGGAATAAGTGGAAGGCCACTTAAGTGGATAACTTCCTTTCTTACAGGAAGAGAACTGTTAGTTAAAATCAACCATCACTTATCCACACTCAAACCAATAACCAGTGGCGTGATACAAGGTAGCTTTCTCGGTCCTACCCTATTCATTGTATTCATAAATGATATCGTCTCTATTATCAAGTATGACAATCCGTATCTCTTTTCAGATGACCTCAAAGTTGTCTATGATTTCGACTATAATGATATGAATATTGCTAGTAAAATCCAACAAGACCTAAATGGTCTATGTAACTGGAGTGAAAAGTGGCAGCTAACGTTCAATCCAGCTAAGTCTGGGATAACATACTTCGGACGTTGGAAACCTAGCATGTGTCTATACATGTGCGGTGACCTTGTCTCAAACACGAATACAGTCACAGATCTCGGGGTAACATACTCAGATCTTACCTTTACTGAACATGCAAATAATGTGGTATCTGATTGTAGACGTCTAACCGGCTTTGTGCTACCCAACGTTTACACTCTAGAAGCCAGATTGGCTACATATAAGATATGTATTCGCCCCAAACTTGAATACTGTGCCCACTTATACAGTAGCTTTAAATCAGCAGATAGAAAAAAAGTTGAAAGTGTCCAAAGATTCCTCACGAAACGCATATTAGGCTATGATCGGCAAATAGAATACCTTGACAGATGTATTCGACTGGACTTAGAACCCATATGATTAAGGAGAGTGAAGTGCAGTTTATTTCTCTTATTCAGAGTTATAAGGAAGCACTGTAACAGTAACTCATCCATAACGTGGGCTAATCTTAAATCGTATAGACT